TTATGTTATATTATTAGTAAAGCACTGTATTAGTTAGGACTATTAGTTAGTAGTAACTTTCAAGCAATTAGAAATGAATTTATCTGGCATCTATCAATTCCCATTGGTGATGGTTAACTGAGTTTACTATACTTATTTTGTTACAAGAAGTCTATGACCTAGATAATTTTTTAAAAGTCTGCAATCTAACACATTTTACAAAAATGTAAAGGGAAAAAATGTTGGTTTTGTGTAAAACAAATGCCAAACCATGGATAGTGACTTAAGACTTCATTCTGTAAGTTTAGGGCTCCATTTCTGTGTGCTTAGGAAACAGCGTGCCAAAAGAGTCCCATGACGTGAAGGCACTTCCAGTGGGACTCTTTGGCATGTCATTTCCACAGCTCATGGAAACAGAGCCCTAAAGCCATCTTCAGGAGTCAGGTATTTTGTGACTATGAATGGGGAAAAGCAGCAGAAAACAGGGGAAAGACGGAACTCGATGCAGAAAGGACATGGGATGGTTGGCCATCCCAAAAGATGGATAAGATGGTTCCCTCCACTTTCCCCTCACTTTTGGGACAACGTCCTAAAAATATAAAGCAGAACTTGAAAAGTTAAGGTTTTTAACTGCAACTACTAGAATTCCTGAATTAACACCCCCACTACTCTGAGAATTGTGGTTGAAAGGAATAATGCTCCCAAGCTTTGGCAAGAGGTACAGTGACAGCCTAAGCATGGACAAAGCCATTTAAGAGTTGGCAGTCAAAAGACTAAGGAAGGCTCTTGGTCCTCATGGTGACTGACAAGGAGAATTAGACTTGTCTAATGGTTGTACTCTGGGCAAGAGACAGTATGACCCAGGAGTTTTAAGGAGCAGGAGATGGGCAGAGTGTATTTTACCCTTATCTAAATTATATTTGTGGGCAAAACCCAGAAATGGGATACCTGGCAGCAATATATGCAGAGTAAATTCTGCTTTGTAAAAATGAAATAGTCACTTTTTATAACAACAGAAATCAAATACTGAAGGATAACTATCATCAAAGAAGACAAATATTGTTGCAGAGAGATGATAAATAAGACTTGACTGATCGGCATAGCCACAGCAGTAGACAGAAATGAGGATGGTGATGATAATATTTATATATTTATTTAGAACATTTGTTATCCCGTCCTATTCTCGACCTCCGAAGAGGGACTCAGGGCGGCTTCCAACAATATAAAAACACCAATATAATTACACAATTACATAAAATGATAATAAATATACATTTAAAAACAATTTGCCAAGTTTAAAACATGCTCCAAATCAGTCCAAAAATGTGGCCCATACAGTCGCATCTAAGCCAATAAAAACCAGTCTATTCTGTGAACGCTTGCTCCCACAGCCAAGTCTTAAGTGTCTTGCGAAAAGTCAGGAGGGAAGGGGCAGATCTAACCACTTTAGGGAGGGAGTTCCACAGCCTAGGGGCCACCACGAAGAAGGCCCTGTCTTTCGTCCCCACCAAGTGCAACTGCGATGGTGGTGGGACCGAGAGCAGGTCCTCCCCAGATGATCTTAAAGTCCTTGATGGTTCATAGGGAGAGACGTGTTCAGACAGTTAAAGTGGGCCAGAGCCATTTAGGGCTTTATAACAACAACAACAACAACAACAACAACAACAACAACAACTTTATTTCCTACTCAATTTTTGTTGTAGCTCGAGGCAGGGCACATAGTTAAAAACACATTATTATAAATACATATTAAAACATATTTGTGTGAGATACATATATTAAAATTCACAGAACAAAGATTAAAATTAAACCAGCATACTAGACATAAACCTGGAATGGGATGTTATACATCAGGTGTTTCCAAGAAAGGAGTGCCTTGTACATATTGCAGACGATAAGCTGAGAACACACATAAAAAAGGAGAAATATGTGGTTTGTAGGCTTGGGAACCCTAAAGTCTAGGTTAGGTCCAAGAAAAGGATCCTTTCATTATCTGTGTCTTTTGATTATTCTTAAATTTTCTGCTGCTTTTTCTTAGCTGTGGTGTCATTATTATTTTATATTCATATATTCATATTTATTAAAATAACATAAACATTAGTTTTAGTCATTTCAAAATGGACAACTTTTAGGGAAAACACACCTATGTAGAAGAGAAATAGGGAAATAGTAATACAGACAAAATATCTATGATCAGAGTTTCTCTTGTAAACCTCAGCTATGAACTGCTCCTTTTTCATGAAAAATGAAATGTTGACTCCCGAATAAGGCAAAGAGCTTGTGAGACCCTCTCCAACCAAAGGAACTGGGACTACTGATCTTGTACTTGAATATAAATGACTTTTGGAGGCTTAATTCTCTTATAATTAAAAGGAGTAACTGCTTTTGCAAGAGAGCTGAAACATTCACATTACCGTCTTCCTGGATACACAGCGGCGTCTGAGTCGTCGCAATCTCTGCCTCTCCAGTAATACCCCCTCAGGGTCTAACCAGGAAGAGAAGCACAGATAAAATGTCACATTATTACTTTCCCCCTCCTTCTAGACATCAAACTTTGAAATAAAAGTCTAAGTAAAGAGAACGAAATAGCTGATAAATCAACCCCTTCTCTTCTAGCTGTCTTTACAAAAATGCTCATTTTAATGCAGAACAAAAATGACAATTCTCGTTGTTGTTTTTTTCAGATAACTTTGCTTCATCTTTTAATATACTTTTAATTTAATTTAATTTGCTTCTTGGGGCAGAGTAATGTCATGGCCAGACTTCTAGAAAGATTATAATGGAATTATTCTTTTTCTTCCCCACAAAGAAAATGCTTCTTCAAGACTATAAAGAGCATTTGCCTCTGTATTAATAGTTTTTTTAATGAAATAAAAGGTTTTATGACTATTAGAAGATACTAGATTTCTGTTGCTTGAGTTTACTTACTGGGAAAATACTGAATTTATCTCCATCAAAGTCTTCATAAGGTAACTTGTGCTTGACAAATCTGTGGGAAAGGAACATAGTGCACATGTGCAATTTTGCTGAGGGGCTAACATAAAAAGTTCAATTTATTATTTATTCATTATTTCCATCAGCCCTTTATACCAAAAGTAATTTGTATCATAATGCAAAGAGCTCATTTTTATTCGGACCAGGACTGGCCAGGTTACGTCAGTCATAGTGGACACGGAGCCATTACTTATTATGCTGTTTACCATTCAGGACCTGGGGAGCTTCTAGCTCCATTGTTCCCCCATTTTGCTTTCATCACACAAAAAACAATGCTATATATATATATAGCAAAGAATATTGAATCAATGTCATACTAGACTCAACTATTACAAATTACTAGGAAAGGGTATAAAAGAAAGAATAAAAGACATAGCCTTGTTTTGCAAATATTACCATACAATGTCTGAATTAATGAATGCAATATCATTTTCCATGAAAAGAAAGATTATAAAACTGAACTACGCATTTAACAGGTGAGGTCTGATGCCTCTGTGTCATTGACCAACCAAGCAAGTAGACAATACTTGTCTAATGTTGGCATGCAAAGGATTCTTGCAACATCTCAGAGATTACATGAGACAATGAAGTTGGTAGCATAGGTTTTCATACACTAAGGACCTTATCAGATGAACCAAAGGTTGTGTTACCATGCACGGTGGAAACGGAGCCCCACAGAGGCCATCACATGACATAAGGGTACTTCTGGTGGGACTCAATCGGGCACTGTTTCCACAGTGCATGGAAATGGAGCCTAGCAGCTGTTTTCAGAAGTGTTACCCAATTCTACAATATGAATGGGTTCCTGAGTTAATACATACAACACAATAGCCCACTTGTACACAGAAAGAAAAATAAATCAATTCAGCATTCACAAAACAATATTATATGCGTTTGGTACAGTCACTCAAAAAAGTAACAACACTTCATAGACAATCATGTACATAAACATGTATTTACAACAAACATTGATGTATATGATAAATATTAAGTTCATAACTCTGTTAGTATTCTTATATGTATCTTTATATGTGTTTATGTACATGATTGTCTATGAATTTATTATTATTATATATATATATATACATATACATATACATATACATATACATATACATATATATATATATATATATATATATATATATATATATATATAATTTTAGTCCACCAGAGGAAGGCCTGGAGTGAGGCCGAAAGCGGTCGTGGACTACGGATATAAGTTCAACTCGACGCAAGAACATACAGCGTTGATACTTTTTTGAGTGACTGTACCAAACGCATATAATATTGTTTTGTGAATGCTATGATTTGGAACTGTATAATAAGTTTCACCAGTCACATTATTGGCTGAATTGATTTATTTTTCTTTGTGTACAAATGGGCTATTGTGTTGTATGAGTTACCCAATTCTAAGCAGGAGAAAGCAGGGAAAAGGCTCAGTAAGTATGTGGCTGGCCATTCCAGAAGATGGTGAAAGATGAGGGGAAATGGGGTAAGATGGTTCCTGCCACCATTGTATATGATCCTGCCACCATTGTATATAATACATAGACTTTAAGCATTTTCCCACAAATAAATGGTACCAGGAATATATCTTTATAAGCAAATTGAAATGCAAAACATCAGGGTATGGTGTTGAAGGAGAAAGGCAGAGGGGAAGATGTTGCCTAAATTCAAGGTGAGTGGATATCCCTATGAATAGTGGAGAGAGTGTCAGAATGCAGTATCAGATGTCCACTGTGTATCTGTACCGTGGTGTCCAGAAAATGGATTTTGTTCTGTTGACAATTTAAGGCTGAAATTGAAGGTGGGGTGGAAGTTGTTCAAAGTCTGGTGGAATATCTTGAGTGAGTCCTCTCCATGAGTCCAAATTGTAAAGATATCACCAATATACCTCACGTAGAGGAGAAGTTTCTGGGTGTATGAATTGAGAAAGCTTTTTTCTATGAAAGCCATGAAGATGTTGGCATTTTGAGGTGCTATTCATGTGCCTGTTCTGGTCTGACATTGTTTACAAATCACCAGAAAAAAGTAAGGAGTGTCAGTCAGCTTATCAGGAAAATCTATTTACTTCACTAAAATGCTTAAAGTGGATATTCTAGGCGCACCAAATGACTTTCGAGTAAACATATACTGGACTAGTATTGCCTGAAATCTATGTTCTATAAGGCTTAATGGTTCTTTGGAGTTTGCATTAATGGACCGGATGAGGATGAACAAATTGAAACTAAATCCAGACAAGACACAGGTACTCCTGGTCAGTCGTAAGGTTGAACAGGGCATAGGATTACAGCCTGTGCTTGACGGGGTTACACTCCCACTGAAGACTCAGGATCACAGCTTGGGAGTGATCCTGGACTCATCGCTGAGCCTGGAACCCCAGGTCTTGGCGGTGGCCAGGAGAGCTTTTACACAATTAAAGCTTGTGCGCCAGCTGCACCCGTACCTTGGGAAGTCTGACTTGGCCACAGTTGTCCACACTCTGGTTACATCCCGTATTGACTACTGCAATACTCTCTATGTGAGGTTGCCTCTGAAGACTGCCCGGAAGCTGCAATTAGTCCAACGTTCAGCAGCCAGATTACTAACAGGAGCGGGGTACAGGGAGCACACAACTCCTTTGTTGCGCCAACTCCACTTGCTGCCAATTCGCTTCTGAGCACAATTCAAAGTGCTGGCTTTAACCTACAAAACCCTACACGGTTCCAGCCCGGTTTACCTGTCCGAATGTATTCTCCCCTATGAACCACCAAGACAATTAAGATCTTCTGGTAGGGCCCTGCTCTCAGTCCTACCACTTTCGCAATCGTGTCTGGCGGGAACGAGAGACAGGGCCTTTTCTGTGGTGGCCACTTGGCTATGGAACTCTCTCCCGATTGAGATCAGATCTGCCCCCTCCCTCCTGTCCTTCAGAAGGCTGGTGAAATCCTGGCTATGGAAGGAAGCATTCCCAGAGTAATGGCTGAAACCGGCTACAAAACAAAGTTATCAACCACACATACGGACTGAGTTGGACATGATTTTATCTTGGCGATTTGACTTATTTGTAATTTTAATCGATTTGTATTTTAACTCATTATTATATGATGTTTTTAGATTGTACTATTAGCATTGAATCCTTGCTGTAAGCCAGTCTGAGTCCCTCTATGGAGGTTGAGAAGATCGGGATATAAAAGTTTTAAATAAATAAATAATAATAAATTTTGCCCCACTGCCAGAGGGTAAAATGAGACACTTTAAAGTACAATTCCAATAAATGATAAGTTACCTTTTCTTTGAAAACCAGTTTTATTCCTACATTTTAACACATATGAGCTTTTTCTTCTTGGTTGCTTTTCATTTTCAGGCCCTGGATTTTAGTAACACAAATGGTATGATATAAATCTGTAACTTACATTACAGGATTTATCTAAAATTGGATGTCATTTTGGGTTTTTCTTTGGTCTGTTAGTTTTCCTTTTTACCTTGCTGAAGAGCTGCAGTCATAAACAATACAGTGTTAGCTGAAAGATTTTTACAAGTGCATGAAATTAGTTTCTTAGGAATGTAAAATCAATACTTTCTATCAACTCTGCATTCCCTCATATAAGATATCAATTTATTTTGCCTTATCTTGCCCCTTAATCACTGTAACCATCTTTTACACCTCCATCTAAATTGCTCTATTCATTCCTGGCATCAGTAGGTTTGATGGTGGGATTCACATTACGAGATTACACAAATTTTGCAGGACAATTATTGTGACATTTTATAGTCATATCAGAATGTATATTTATATCCTAAGCATAAAGGCTATCAAAGCATTTCCAGCTTCTGAAGACGATGCAAAACTGGGTCACAAAGACTACATGATTTAAAACCATATTAATGTCAAGATGCGAAAAACAAATGGCTAGAGTTACAATATATTTCCATTTCTGCTTGTTCTAAAGCCTCTTGCAGACAAATGATGAACACAACTGAACAGATGATCTCTGCATCCCTTAAATAGAGAAGAAAGGTCACCACTGCTAAAGGAAGGAAGTTAAGCTCTTGGAAGATGGCCATTTAAAAAGACATTAAAATATGCAATTGCATGTCAGTGACATTTTGACATTAGTGAAGTAAATCTTCATTGTTGGAGAAATGATTGCAAATTCATATTTTCATGCAAAGCAACAACCAAATGCTTTACAAGGCCTAAGAAAGGAAGATTTCCACAAGTCTATGAAACTGTATGTGTCTTACGATTTCATCACATGACAAATTTTTAGTGTCTAGGATACTGCACTCCCCCTGAAGTCACAGGTCCGCAGTTTGGGTGTCCTGGACGCATCACTTACGCTTGAGGCTCTGGCATCGGCGGTGTCCAGGAGGGCCTTCGCACAATTAAGACTTGTGCGCCAACTGCGACCATACCTCGCGAAGGCGGATCTGGCCAGGGTGGTCCATGCCTTAGTCACCTCCAGATTGGACTACTGTAATGCACTCTACGTGGAGCTGCCCTTGAAAATGGCTCAGTTGGTCCAATGGGCGGCGGCCAGGTTGTTAACTGGCGCTCCTTACAGGCAGCGGTCAACCCTCCTGTTTAAGGAGCTCTACTGGCTGCCATTCATTTTCCGGTCCCAATTCAAGGAGCAGGTTCTTACCTACAAAGCCCTGAATGGTTTGGAACCCGCCTACCTGCGTGACCGCATTTCTGTATACGAACCCACACAATCTCTTCAATCACCTGGAGAAGCCCTACTCACACTCCCACCTGCATCGCAAACACGACTGGTGGGGACGAGAGAGAGGGCCTTCTTGGTGGTGGCCCCTTGACTCTGGAACTCACTCTCTAAGGACATCAGACATGCCCCATCTTTGGCAGTCTTCAGGAGGAGCTTGAAAATGTGGTTGTTCCAGTGTGCCTTCCCAGAATAAATGAACCCTTAGCACTATGTCCCCCAAAACACTTTACATTGATTTAGGACTGCTTGTATCTCTCCATCAACGCCCCATCTCCTGCATCTTGTCCATGCCTAGCATTATTTTTTAACTTCAGTTACATTTGGCTCAGCCATTGTTTTATATGTGCACTGTACCTTGTTTAATGTTTATGCTATTTGTGTATGTGATTTATTTTTTAATTGCTTTGTATTGTACCTGTTATTGCTTGTATTGCTTGTATTATTTGTATTGTGGGCTCGACCTCATGTAAGCTGTACCGAGTCCCTTGGGGAGATGGTAGCGGGGTATAAATAAAGTATTATTATTATTATTATTATTATTATTATTATTATTATTATTTATTAATATTAGTTGATTAACAGAGCCCCATGTTGTCCATCACACAAAGTAGCCTCACTTCTGGCAGGGCTCCGTTGTTCAACTGGTGTGGCAGTGTGGTAGGACGCTGCATCACCAACATGGGAGCCTCCTTATGTTCCATTTAGAACAATGGGGCTACAGTAGAGACAAGCTGCACAGTGACGCTGCTCCATGTGAGATGGGGAAGCATTGTGGCTGGCCAGGTGAAGCATGGGGTGCTGGAATTGCCCCACCACTTTGCCGATGCACCACGGAGGCTAGCAAATCATCAGTATGATGAGGTCCTGACAATCAGTGTTGTCTTAGAATTGAAGAAATATGATATTAAGAAAACTGTTTTCTTTTTTCCAATTTGGTTACTCATTTTTCTATTTTTTCTTTCTCTTATTATTTTGGTTGCCTAATGAAATTGCACAGTGCAAAGGAAAGTGCACAGCTGTTGTTTAAAGGAGTGAGCTGAACAAGTGACTAAACAACTCTGAACAAAATCTAGCACATAAAGCAGAACCTGCTAAGGTAACAATAGTGATCTCTTTTTAATGGCCTTTCGTTAATTAATGACATCTAAGCAGATGGCTGATGGGAATAGGGTTGGAATGAGGTGTAAGGAGATGCATTGGAAGTTATTTAAACAAACGCAGTGTCTTACTTATTCTATTTCTCTGTCATTTTGCTTTGTGCTACAAGTGATTTCACAGTCAAAGATGCAATGGAAGGAAGGTGAAGAAAGCAGGTGATACATTCCAATTTTGCCCATGTTTTTCTTTGGGTGAGTTGTGGACTTGTGATACAGCTTAATGGTGTAACATTAGAAAATGTTGATCATTTCCGCTACCTTGGCAACCACCTCTCCACCAAAGTCAACATCGACACCAAAATACAACACCGCCTGAGCTCTGCGAGCGCAGCATTTTTCCGAATGAAGCAGAGAGTGTTTGATGACCGGGACATCCGTAGGGATACCAAGGTGCTTGTTTATAGAGCTATTGTCTTCCCAACCCTGCTATATGCCTTTGAGACGTGGACTGTCTACAGACATCACATGCAACTCCTGGAACGATTCCATCAGCGCTGCCTCCAGAAAATCCTGCAAATCTCTTGGGAAGACAGGCGGACAAACGTCAGCGTGCTGGAAGAAGCAAAGACGACCAGCATTGAAGCGATGGTCCTCCGCGATCAACTCCGCTGGACCAGCCACATAGTCTGGATGCCCGACCACCGTCTCCCAAAGCAGTTGCTCTACTCCAAACTCAAGAACAGAAAACGGAATGTTGGTGGACAGGAAAAGAGATTTAAAGATGGGCTCAAAGCCAACCTTAAAAACTCTGGCATAGACACTGAGAACTGGGAAGCCCTGGCCCTTGACCACTCCAGCTGGAAGTCAGCTGTGACCAGCAGTGCTGCAGAATTTGAAGAGGCACGAACAGAGGGCGAAAGGGAGAAGTGTGCCAAGAGGAAGGCGCGTCAAGCCAACCCCGACTGAGACCGCCTCCCACCTGGAAACCAATGCCCTCACTGCGGAAGAAGATGCAGAGCAAGAATAGGGATCCACAGCCACATATGGATCCACAAGAATATTGGAAGACAATCCTCCTCGGAAAACGAGGGATCACCTAAGTAAAGTGTGGACTTGTCAATAGGTGGAGTAGCATCACTGTGTGCAAAGTCAGGTACAGAGAGTAAGATGGTATTCAACAGATTCTACAACTACAACAACAACAACAACAACAACAACAACACAACTTTATTCTTATACCACGCCACCATCTCCCCAAAGGGACTCAGGGTGGCTTATATGTGGGACAAGATGTCCACAAAACATAAAACAAAACAATCCATAAAACCAAACACATTAAAACAGGTGCACCATAAAATACAACTATCCAAATAAAACACATTAAACATAACAGAATAAAACAAATTGCATTGGAGCTCCATCAGACCAAGTTCAACAAAAACAATGTCCAAGTTTTCTTAAAATGGGCAAGACCAAACTATAAAAGGGCTGGGCAGATGAATATTAATCTTCTTCCTCTATTCTTGGCCTGGAATAGCAGCCTAAACCCAAGGCATAAGAAGAACAGCTTCTGGATTTTGCTATTGACAAAGGAAACTCTCTTGAATTCACTTTGCCTAATGAAATTGGTGGTAAAACTTGACTGAGAAAATAAAATATCTAGGTATGCTCTGGATGGGCCTTGTTATCTCTTCCGACTCTATCATTCTATGATTCTAAGATCCAGCATAGAGAATCACCCCCAAATAGCCTTCCATACCCTGGAGTGAAATGAATAAAGTGGTTTAGATTGGATTACTGTAATGCGCTCTACGTGGGGCTGCCCTTGAAAACGGTTCGGAAATTCCAACTGGTCCAACGGGCAGCAGCCAGGATGCTAACTGGGGCTCCTTACAGAGAGAGGACAACCCTCCTGTTCAAGGAGCTCCACTGGCTGCCGTTTATCTTCCGAGCCCAATTCAAGGTGCAGGTGCTTACCTACAAAGCCCTGAACGGTTTGGGACCATCCTACCTGCGTGACCGCATCTCCATCTATGAACCCACACATTCACTTCGGTCATCTGGTGAGGCCCTGCTCGTGATTCCGCCTGCGTAACAAGCGCGGTTGGTGGGGACACAAGACAGGGCCTTTTCTGTGGTGGCCCCCCAACTCTGGAACACCCTCCCAAAAGATCTTAGACAGGCCCCTAATTGGCAGTCTTTAGAAAGAACTTGAAGACCTGGCTGTTCCGATGTGCCTTTCCAAAATAGGAATCTCCAATAACAAGTCCTCGAAGCACTTTTAGTAGAACTAAGATTATTGCACACCGCACACTGCACTTGCCCTATAATCCTCGTATACCACCTGCCACATCAGCACTTTTAATCCTGTACCCATTACTCTGGCCCGGCCCAGTTTTTATTGTGTCTTGATGTACTGTTTATTGCATGTCGTCAATATTGCTTTACTGTTTTTAATTTTGCTTTTGGTGTTATATTGTTGTGTTGTGTTTTGAGGCCTTGGCCTTTGTAAGCCACATCGAGTCCTTCGGGAGATGCTAGCGGGGTACAAATAAAGTTAATAATAATAATAATAATAATAATAATAATAATAATATTTAGAGAAGAATATTTAAAAAGCGCAATACACACCCTTCAATTTTCTTGCACAAATTCTTCAGAAGAGGAAGTGAACACAAGCCTAGTAACCGAGGAATACGCTCCTAGAAATAGAAAAGAGAATATTAGTTCAGGAAGTCTATACATCCACTTCCCAAAACAAGGATTTAAGCCCACGTGGAACTGAATGATGGCTTAAGTTTTCACTGTGACATAAAACAATTTTATATTACCTTAACAAGATTAATAAAGAGAAGAAGTGGAAAATGCTGTTATTGAACGAAGTTTCTTTGGTATTAAAGGAAATGGTTTAATAAAAGCATAAATGTCAGTGTACATGTAGGAATCATAATTTTAATGTTCTATGAGAATTCTTTTCTTAGATGCAGAAAACATGAACTAATCTCAAAGCATAGTTGTTTTTGGTTGGTGAAATATATGTGTGCAGATGCCATTATATATTCCTCTGATGTTTTTACTAACAGGGCATACCTACATGGCTACTTTGTCCCGAAGTGGGAAGAATAGGTTCTGTAGCATTTTTATGATATATTAGCTGTCCCCTGCCACGCGTTGCTGTGGCCCAGTCTGGTGATCTGGAAAATAAAGTAATGAGGAAGTGTTGGTTTCTAATATATGTAATTTCTTTATGCTTGTGGGTAAACAGTATTTCTTGCTGTTTTTTTTGTCAGTGTTAATGTGAAGAGTGTCTGGTTTGCCTATTCTGGAACATGGAACATATAATTGTCCTTCTTCAGGGGATGTTTTCTTGCCCTGGTGAAGGAAGTTGGACTGAATGGCCTTGAATATTTTCTGTTGGTCATGGGGGTTCTGTGTGGGAAATTTGCCCCAATTCTGTCGTTGGTGGGGTTCAGAATGCTCATTGATTGTAGGTGAACTATAAATCCCTGTAACTACAACTCCCAAATGTCAAGGTCTATTTCCCCCAAATTCAATCTGTGTTCATATTTGGGCATATGGAATACCCGTGCCAAGTTTGGTCCAGATCCATCATTGTTTGAGTCCATGGTAGTCTCTGGATGTAGGTGAACTACAACTCCCAAACTCAAGGTCAATGCTCACCAAACCCTTCTAGTTGGTCATGAGAGTCCTATATGCCCCGGTTGGTTCAATTCTATCATGTTATTTGATTGTAGGTGAACTATAAATCCCAGCAACTACAACTCCCTATCTATCTATCTATCTATCTATCTATCTATCTATCTATCTATCTATCTATGGCTGGATGGCTCTTTGTCAGGAGGACTTTGATTACGTTTTCTTGCCCTGATGAAGAGAGTTGGATTGGATGGCCTTAAGTATTTTCTGTTGGTCATGGGGGTTCTGTGTGGGAAGTTTACCCCAATTCTGACGTTCGTGGGGTTCAGAATGCTCTTTGACTGCAGGTGAACTGTGAATCCCAGTGACTACAACTCCCAAATCTCAAGGTCTATTTCCCCCAAACTCCATCTGTGTTCATATTTGGGTGTATTGAGTGCTGGTGCCAAGTTTGGTCCAGATCCATCACTCTTTGAGTCCACAGTGCTCTCTGGATGTAGGTGAACTACAACTCCTAAGCTCAAGGTCAATGCCCACCAAACCCTTCCAGTATTTTCTGTTGGTCAAGGGAGTTATGTGTGCCAAGTTTGGTTCAATTCCATTGTTGATGGAGTTCAGAATGTTCTTTGATTGAAGGTGAACTATAAATCCCAGCAACTACAACTCCCAAATGACAAAAATCATAATTTTTTGAGTGATGGTCACTCCTTGTGTTGTGAGACGTTTTGTTGCCAAATTTGGTGTGATTTCATTCATTGGTTCTTTTGTTTTTAAGGTATTATGCACAGAGCATTTATATATATATATAGATGGAGCCATCTCACCCTCACCATGGGGCACAACCACTTAGCACAGTTAGGCTTCATCTCTGAAGCACCCTACACTTCAGGGGGTGGGGGTGAATAATAGTGGCACGGATTCTGATTTGAAGTCAGTCCTGCTATTCATATAGATCAGCCCCATCATACATACCCATGCTCTGTTGTGTGGGGAAACTATGGAGGCACTTACCTGTGTCATTGGACTTCATGCCACAGGCTTCAGGCTCTGCTTCCATGCACTTAGGAAACAGAGTCCCACGGAGGCCATCATATGATGTGGGGAGACTTCCAGTGGGAATTCGTGGGATTCAATTTCTGCAGCACATGGAAACACAGCCTGAAGCCCATCTTCAGAAGTTGGGTGTTACCTATTTCCAAACAGAT